GCTCAACCACTTGAGCCACAGCACCACTTCCAGCTTTTTCTGAGTAGTTTATTAGAGATAAGAGTCTCACAGACTTTCCAGCCCCAGCTGGCTTCAAACTGTGATCCTCAGATCTCAGCCTCCTGAGTAGCTAGGATGACCGGCGTGAGCCACTGGTGCCCAGCTCCTCGTCCTTAGATTAGTTAATCACGGAAGAAGTGCTTGCTTATTTTTACACGGGGAACTGGGCTGGTCCTTGTGACAGCTCTGAGGTGGCTACTTTTCTGAACCCCACGTGAGAAGTGAGGAGACTGAGGCACAAAGAAGTAGCACGTGCAACGTCACACAGTAATCGGGGGCCTATGAATGTAGATGCATCCTGTAGTTCCAGCCACAGTCCCCCAGGAGTCTCTCGGCACTGTTCACACAGTGCTGCTCACCCCCCAGCTTTGCTAGGACCTGTGCAAAGTCCCTTCCTGAAGCCACTCCCACTGCCGGCCACTGAGGGATGGGAGACCCTCATAGCCCCAGACTTTCTGAGGTGGAACACCAAAGTCCAGCAAGTGAATGATAGGACCGTGTGTGTCCAGGGCTGCACTGAGATGAGGGGCCTGCAGACCACCTTAGAAGAGAACAACCTGGGGATGGGAGGGAGCCATCAAGGAGGGCTTCCAAGAAGAGGTGACTTTTGGCTGGCCTAGAAAGATGGGTAGAAGAGCGAGCTCAAGGGTGACCCACAAACCAAGGACGTGTCTTTGTTGGCTGATCAGCTTTGGGGGGATATTTCTGGGAGGAAGGGTGAGTGTGAGGAGGGGCGGGAGAGCCACCCTAAGTCACTTCATGTAGCCTGAGTGGCAGACTGTGCGTGCCCTGATCCTTAAGGATTGGGGAGTATCAGTGGGTAAGGAATGCCTGGATTCAGAGAGGGCAGGGCACCTGCCCAAGGCTGCACAGCCTTCCAGGGACTGAACTCCTTAGTAGCCCACCTGCAGGGCTGGACTTTATCCTGAAGGTCTTGGGGTGTTATAGCAAGTTTTAAAGTATATTGGGGTAGTGGAGCGGGGAGGGGGATGTGCATTTTAAAAAAGGAGTTTGCATGAATAGAAGGAGGAATTTCCAGAATGGTTAAGACTTAACCCAGGGGCCTGAGTCATTACAGCCGAGGGTCTAAGGGGACAAAGAGGCCCCTTGAGGCAAAGTTAGTCATTCCAGCCACACAAGGAGTGCTCTTGGTACCCCCTACTCATGTCTGCCTGATGGAGGGGCAGCCAGAGGACTGAGGAGTCCCCCCTCAGTGCCCATGGGCCCCCCCCCGTTAGAGGGTCCCTATGCACCCCAGGCTCTTGGGGGTATGGAGGCAATTTTGAGGTGGAGGAGGGGAATTGGAGGTGATGCACAGCCCCAGGCCAGGAAGTAGCCTCTGCCCCCCCCCCCGCCCTTGGGGACATTTCCCTGCGATGAAATCACAGCCTGAGCCAGGAACAGGCCCCCATTGTGATGGGCTGGGGGTCTTCAGAGAAAAGGGCCTTTCAGGCTCTTAAAAATAGCAGCCCTGAGATTGACGAATCTGCATCCCCTGCCCCCCATGCCTTGCAGACTCCGTCCCCCAACCCCAGACCGTGGCCTGTGGGTGACCAGCCAGAGACTCCAGTCGCGGGGTGGGGGAGGGCTCTGGCTGGCCAGTGGCTTCCTCACCCTCCCTCTACCCCCTCGTGGCCAGGCCCGAGACTCTGAAGATTTCTGTGACCCACGCCAGAATTGCAGGAGCTAGGCATTTCAGGAGAGGCACGAATAGGAACTCACACCATCGTGCAGGTGATACAGCCTGGATTACAAACCACGCAGCCCTCGGGGGTCTCTCCCTTCTGCCTAGGCCTGGTGTGGGCTGAAAGGGGCGGGGCCGGGTGCCAGCAACGGGGTCGTAGTGGGTCAGCCCCACCACTGACCATGCCTGTCAGTCCCAGGCTGATGACCGCTGCTCTTGACCAGATCACTCCGGTGTCTTACTCCTGTAGAGCTGTGCCTTGCTTTCCCAGCCTTGAAAGCCAGGAGGCCACTGCAGGGAAGGGCAGGGGGCTCAAGAGTGGGCATTCCCAGGGTGTCTGTGAGCTGAAGGAGTAGGTAGCCCTTGTAGACTTTGCGAAGGGAAGGGAGACTAGAGGAGAGCCCCCAGAGTGACTAGAAAGGCCCATCCTTGCAGGGCACTGGTGGCTCACACCTGTCACCCTAGCTACTCAGGAGGCTGAGATCTGAGGATCAAGGTTCAAAGCCAACCTGGGCAGGAAGGTCTAGGCCATTCTCAGTTCCAATGAACCACCAGAAAACTGGAAGTGGAGCTGTGGCTCAAAGTGGTAGAGTTACTAGCCTTGAGCAAAAGAGCTCAGGGACAACACCCAGACCCTGAGTTCAAGACCCATGACAGAGAGAGAGCAGAGGGGGTGGGGAGAGAGAAAGAAACAGACAGACAGACAGACAGAGACAGAGAGAGGAGAGAGGGAGAGAGAAAGAAAGAAAGAAGGAAAGGAAGGAAGGAAGAAAGAAAGAAAAAGAGAGAGAAAGAGCAAGCACGCGGGCCATCCTTGGGGTCTTCTTGACAGGAAGTGCTCTGGGCTGCTAGCAGAGACAGGGTAGGTGGCAGCCGGGTGGGCGGGACCCTCCCCTCCCAGCCCCTTGAGGCAGCAGTCCTGGGGTCCCCCCTCTTTGGTGTCTGCATTGGGCACAACGCAGAGCTCGGCCTGCTCTCTCTGAACACGTTTCACTTGTGTAGGGGGTGGGGGCTCCCGGCCCCTCCCCGCAGCCCGACCCCCCCCCACTCAGCCTCGGAGAGCCACCTGCAGGCTGGGTGCAGGCGGGAACGCCAGCTGTTGGCAGCATTGTCCTGCCCCAACCTTACTGCCACCCACGGGGACCCCAGCCCCTTCCTGGCCCATCACGTCCAGCCCCACGCCATGAAGTCCCAAGCTGCCGCCGGCTGCAGCCCTGAAGCCCCCTGCAGCCCCCAGATCCCATCCCCCCGACACCCACCCACCCCTGACCACCCCAGCACCGCGGCTGGCTCCCATCGCCCTGCATCCTTCTCCCGGCTTTCCCAGAATCGCTCGACTCCTCCTCGAGAGTGGGATGATGTCACTTCCTGAGGGGGGAGGAGTAGGCACGCACGACCCCAGCGGGCCAGCCCGCCAGGCCGCCAGCTCCCCGGAGCAGCCCGGGAGCGGCCCGGGAGCGGCTGCATGCAGCGGCCGCACCTGGGAGAGGGCGGCCGGCCGGGCAGGGCATACCGGCCCACCACCCCGCCCCATGCCCCCTCGCCCACCCCGAGGCTGCGCTCCCAGCCCAGGGAAGACTTGCCTACATCCTTCCCTAGTGATGCCCGCCTCCGAGGACACACGTTTTCCCCGGAGCCATCAGCTGGGAGAGAAGGATCGGCCACCCGCCACCCCTGGACTGGGTGTCATGTATGTAAGGCTCTGGCAGCTTGGGGGGCATGCAGCTGTCCACACCAGGGGCCCCTCTAGAGCACTCAGTACAGGCGACCCCGACTCTCCTCCATGATGCTATCCATCTGAGGGCTCTCAAGGGGGGCCCTGGGGTCTTGGGCACTAAGCTGGCTCCTAGCTACTTTGGACCCAACTACTTCGGAGAGTTGGGCACAGGGCAGTGAAGGATTCTGGGTTCTGGGTGAGCGTGCAGATGGATTGCTTTTCCTCAATGAAGGGGCAGAAGATGCCCCCAAGCACTCCTGACCAAGTTGCCATCCGGTCCTTCCTGCCCCAGAGCAGTGGCAACTGTGGCTGAGGATGCTGTGTCACGTGTCCAAGTCAGAGAACAGTTTACAGGGCGCCGGGCACCGGTGGTTCACACCTGTAATCCTGGCTACTCAGGAGGCTGAGATCTGAGGATCACAGTTCAAAGCCAGCCGGGTCAGGAAAGTCTGTGAAACTCTTATCTCTAATAAACCAGCAGAAAACCATAAGTGGCGCTGTGGCTCAAGTGGTAGAGCGTTTGCCTTGAGCTGAAGAGCTGAGGGACAGCATCCAGGCCCAGAGTTCAAACCCCATGACTGACAAAAAAGAAAACAAAACAAAAAACATAAAACAAAGACCTCATTGAGCCAAGACTTACTGAGCACCTACTGTGTGCCAAGCCCCAGCCATAACCATCACATCCAACTGTCCGTCCCCAAGGCCTTGGGCCCCTCTCCCACCCTCTCAGGCCCCATGGTGGTTGTTCTTGGCCTTAGAAGCCTGACTCTAGCCTGGGCTAGATGTAGAAAGGAAATAAGGGGTGGGAGGGCTGAGGGTCCCACCGATGCCATGCAGAAGGAGGAGGTGAGCTCGGCTATCGTGGGGATGTCTTCAGGCATGGCCAGGGTGGGGGACAGGAGAGACCCTAACACAGCTGAAGTTTGTGTGTCCGGCTGCTAAGGGCCTGGGTGTTGGCTTTGGGTGTTGACAGGGCTGGAGGCAGCTCCTCCCTGGAGATGGCCAGTGCCTAGAAGTCCCCTGGTGGTGGGTGGGGACTTGGGGGCCTCAGTCCTGGACCATAGCTGGAACTGGTCCAGGGGCTCCTGACTAGTGGTGTTGCTTGCCCCGGCCCTCCGAGGCAGCCACAGGGTCCTGTGTGCATGTGTGCGTGCATGCTTGCACGTGTGTGTGTGCGTGTGTGTGTGCGTGTGCATGCGTGTGTGTGTGTGTGTGTGTGTGTGTATGCTGCTACTGGGGCTTGAACTCAGTGCCTGGGTACTATCCCTTAACTATTTCATTCAAGGCTAGCCTTGAACCACAGCTCCACTTCTGGCTTTTTACTGGTTCATTGGTGATCAGAGTCTCATGGACTTTCCTGCGCTGGCTGGCTTCAAACCTCCATCCTCAGATCTCAGCCTCCTGAGTAGCTAAGAGTACAGGCATGAGACCCCAGTGTCCAGCTTTCAGAGTCTTTGTGTGTGTGTATGTGTGTGTGTGTGTGTGCTTGTTTTCAGGAGGTGAGCGCCAGGCCCGCTGAGCCTCCCCGAGCTGCCAGCCATGCCCGGGATCGTGGTGTTCCGGCGGCGCTGGTCTGTGGGCAGCGATGACCTTGTCCTGCCAGCCATCTTCCTCTTCCTCCTGCATACTACCTGGTGAGTCCCTGGCTGGGGCCACAGGCCTGGAGGGAAACTTTCTGACCATCTGCTCCTCCCTGCCTGACCCTGTCCCACTCCCTGGAGAAACCCTTGGGGTTCCCTGGACCCTTGGGGGGCAGTACCCACATGGAGACACCCCTTTCCTGGCTGTTGCCACCCCTGTACTGAACATGACCACCACGGCTGCGTCCCCATGCTGCCATGGAGCTCCCTGTTCTTATTTCTCCTGGACTTGTGCAGGGGGGAGGGAGAGAGGGAGATGCCTGCCGCCCCGCCCTTCTGCCAAGCCTAGGCTGGGCAGGGCTGTCCTACCAGCCAGGGCTGGCATAAGGCAAGTGCCCAGGCTTTGGGCCTTGCTGACCTGGGCCCTCCGCAGGTTTGTGATCCTGTCCGTGGTGCTCTTTGGCCTGGTCTACAACCCGCACGAGGCCTGCTCCCTGAACCTGGTGGACCACGGCCGCGGCTACCTGGGCATCCTGCTGAGCTGCATGATCGCTGAGATGGCCATCATCTGGCTGAGCATGCGCGGGGGCATCCTGTACACGGAGCCCCGCGACTCCATGCAGTACGTGCTCTACGTGCGCCTGGGTAAGGGCTGCTCCAGACCTCCCTCTACATCCGGGTCCTCCTGTGCTCATTCATCCCTTCAGCCCAGAGTCACTGGGCATGGGTTCAAGTGCCAGACCCTGAGCTAGCACAGGGGCGGGTTAGACCTGGGGGCAGGTAGAAACCCTCCCACTGTATGTTTTGTAAATAAAGTTTTATTGAAACACACCCTTGCATATATGCATCCTCTCAGGCTGCTCTGATTCTCCTGTGGCAGAACTGAGCATTTGCTTCTAAGACTGTAGCACCTCAAAGTCTAAAATATTTGCTTTTGGGGGGGCTTCAATTCAGGGCCTGGGTGTTATCCCTGAGCTTTTTTTTTTTTTTCTCTCAAGGCTAATGCTCTACCACTTGAGCCACAGCTCCACTTCTGGCTTTTTGTTGGTTAATTAGAGATAAGAATCTATGCTCCACCCAGCTAGCTGGCTTCAAACCACGATCCTCAGATCTCAGTCTCCTAAATAGCTAGGATCACAGGCGTGAGCCACCGGGCCAGCCTCCCTTCTATCTTAAAACCAGAGCATCTCTGTGAAGCTCACTGGTTTTATGATCCTTTCCAAACAGCCCCGCCCTTTCTTGGGAAGCTCCCCCTCCGACCCCCTACCCCTGCCCAGTCTCAGTTGCCTCTCCCACTCTGTGTGTTAAACCCAGGAGCAAGTAGTGGCAGCATCATTTGGTAGATGAGGTCACTGGGTTCCTGCGTATTCATGAGCTCTCTCAAGGTCACCCAGCTAGGGAAGGATAGAAATGTTTCCACATTTTCTTCCCAATCCCTGGTCCAGGCCCTGGGCTTGGTGGTGCAGACATAAGCAGCCTGGTTGCTCCTTATGCATCCCCTTTCAGTTCCAAGGTTTCTTGCCCTTTTCATGGGATAGACACTGATTTAATCTCAGGTGGTCCTGGGACAGGGTTGTTACTCCCGTCCTGTAGACGAGGAAGCTTAGCCTGAGATGCACACGCATCCCACACAGGTCCCAAAATCCTGAAAAGATAAGAGAAACACTGGGTGCCGGTGGCTCACACCTGTCATCCTAGCTACTCAGGCTGAGATCTAAGGATCACGTTCAAAGCCAGCCCAGGAAGAAAAGTCTCATAGACTCTTATCTCCAATGAATCACAGAAAAATCCAGAAGTGGATCTGTGGCTCAAGTGGTAGAGCATCAGCCTTGAGTGAAAAAACTCAGGGATAGCACCTAAGCCCTGAGTTAAAGCCCCAGTAGGGGCACATAAACACATCAAATTAATCAATTAAATAGAGCCGAGCATCTTCCTCATCCACCTTTGTAGTCACCTTCACAGAACAGACTGGGGGACCTGAGGGCACAAGGCCGGGGGCCCAGCACAGAATAGAGGAGGAGGGATGTCCTTGGGGCCCACAGGGGACCCCCCCCACTTCTCACCCCAGCAGCAGAGCTGGCCAGAGGGCTCAGGGCAAGGTCTCTGGGAGCTTCCCCCATGGCCACACTTCAGCCAGGGCCTGCTCTCCCCGCAGCCATCCTGGTGATCGAGTTCATCTACGCCATCGTGGGCATCGTGTGGCTCACCCAGTACTACACCTCCTGCAATGACCTCACTGCCAAGAACGTCACCCTGGGTATGTGTGTGTCATTCTGTTTCCCAGCCAGCTCAGGGGGCGGGGCCTCTGGGGGCGGGGCCTCTGGGGGCGGGGCCTCTGGGGGCGGGGCCTCTGGGGGCGGGGCCTCCAGGGGCCAGGTGATGGGACTGTGCTCCACCATCCCCTTGGGGACCCTGGCCTTAAGTGGGCAGTACTTGAGCTCAGCGTCTTCTTCATCGCCCACAGAGCTGCCTGCTCCCCGAATCAAGGTGTGTCTTGGGGTCTATGTTTGAGGAAAGTTGGGCCCCAGGCTTCTGAGCTGGAAGCTATTTGGAGGCCAGAAGTCACCAGGGCCCCTTTCTTTTTTTTTTTTTCTTTTTCTTTTTTCATGGGTCATGGGGCCTGAACTCTAGGCCTGGGTGCTGTCCCTCAGCTCTTCAGCTCAAGGCTAGCGCTCTACCACTTGAGCCACTGTGCCACTTCTGGCTTTTTCTGTTTATGTGGTGCTGAGGAATCGAACCCAGGGCCTCATGCATGCAAGGCAAGTGCTCTACCACTGCTCCACCTTCTCAGCCCCTAGGGCCCCTTTCGTAAACACGGTTGATGGCCCAGGGACATGTCCCCAATATCTCCACCTCTTGTCACTTCCTGTCACCCCACAGGGATGGTTGTCTGCAACTGGGTGGTCATCCTCAGCGTCTGCATCACCGTCCTCTGCGTCTTCGACCCCACGGGCCGCACCTTCGTCAAGCTGAGGGCCACCAAGAGGAGGCAGCGGAACCTGAGGACCTACAACCTGCGGTCAGTCAGCTGACTGGGGAGTCATGGGCAATTCCCTCTGCTGATCAGCAGGCAGAGCTGAGGCCTAGCCAGGCTGTGGGTGTGTGAGAGAGACTTCCCCTCTGCCTGCCTCCGTGTCTTTGTCTGTAAATCGCAGTTCCTGCCCCCACGGGGTTGTCTGGAGACTTACATGAGATAACATATACAAAGCAGTGTGGCCAACATCGTAAGAGGCTCATGCCTGGAACAGCTTAGGAAATGGCAACAGTGGCATCATCAGGAGTCTGTAGCTCACGCCTGTAACCCTGGCTACTCAGAGGCCTGAGAGCTGAGGATCTCGATTCGAAGCCAGCCCAGGCAGGATAGTCCATGACACTCTTATCTCTAAGTAACCAATGAAAAAAAAAAAAGCCAGAAATAGAGCTGTGGGTCAAGTGGAAGAGGGCTTGGATCAAAAAAAAAAAAGCTAAGCAAGAATGGAAGGCCCTGAGTTCAAGCCCCAGCACTGGCACATGCTCACAAAAAGAATAACTGTCATTATAGTAGGAGACATTAGAAATCTAACCAAACATGGACAGGGTAAGTGACGGCTGCCCATGAGGTAGTTGTCACTGGCTTGTTCATAACAAGGATGGAGAAACCGAGGCACAGATGGGTCATGTGACCTTTTTGAAGCTATGCAGCACATCTGTGATGAGACTGGGAACTAAGCGTTCAGGGCCCTCCCTTGTCCAGTAGGCTGTGGACTGCCTGGGTTTCAGAGACTTGGAGGAAGTTAATCCAGGAGGACTTCCTGGAGGGGGTGAGTTTTGTGTGGGTTTTTTTTGTTGTTGTTTGTTTTTTTGCCGGTTGTGGGGCCTGAACTCTGGGCCTGGGCGCTGTCCCTCAGCTCTTCAACTCAAGGCTAGCACTCTACCACTTGAGCCACAGCGCCACTTCCGGCTTTTTTTTCTTTTTGCTTATGTGGTGCTGAGGAATTGAACCCAGGGCCTCAGGCATGCAAGGCAAGCACTCTATTACTGAGCCACCTTCTCAGCCCTTGTGTGGTGTTTTTTAGGAAGGGGAAGGCTGTGCCTGTGCTGACTCGGAGAGGGAGGGTTTGACTCCTGTTACTTAAAGAAGAGGGTGGGGTGGTCACCATAACCCCTGAGAATTAAACTCCTACTGTGGCACAGGCCCCCAGCACTGAGCTCGGCAGAGGGGGACCCGTTAATCCCTTCTGCCAGCCCCAGGACAGTTGTGATCCACCAAGAAAGGTTGCAGTGGTGCCAGGGTGGTTGAAGTGGGTCCGGATCCCCAGCTCAGTGCAGCCGGCTCAGCATCAGGCCCAGCAGCCCAGGCCCCACCCCTTAGGCCTTCTCCCCACCCCCACGCCTCCATACTGGGCTCCCCATGGACTTTCTTCCAAGTCAGCTCATCAGAGACACACCCAGGCCTGGGCTTGTCACCACCCAGTCCCAAATGTCAAGTCTCAAAGCCAAGGCCCTACAGCCCATTTCCCCTCCCAGCTGAACTGGCCAACACCCTCCCCCTCCCCCACCCGGATGCCACTCTGCTTGGGCCTGCCCCCACCTGACCTGGTTTCTGGCCTCCCAGGCTCTTAAGATGCTGCCTTTAAAGCCCAGGGCACACAGCCCCTTGCTAGTGGCATTAACAGTTGCTATCACTTTAAATAGAAAACTTTCTATGGCGCCCACCTGGCCTGTTGACTCTCAGCTACTCAGGAGGCTGAGATCTGAGGTTCATGGTGCAAAGCCAGGAGGCAGGAAAATCTGTGAGTCTTAGCTAATTAGCAAAATAAATGCCAGACATGGAGCTGTGGCTCAAAGAGTAGGGTGCTAACCTTGTGCAACAACAACAAAAAAGCTACGTAAGTGACAGCACCTGGGCCCCGAGTTCAAGCCCAGGTACCACCCCCCCCACCTCCAAGAAAAGAAAGAAAGAAAGCTTTCCATGGTTTCTAAACCGTATGAAGGTGGGTAAGAGGCCAGAGCCTCCAGGCCCCTCTCCCTGGGGTCTCCCCCACTGGCTATGAAGCTACCATGTTTTGTGTCATTTTATTCCAAGCCAGGACATTTTCAATCCAGCAACTTCCCAATGTAGAGACATGCTCACCCTACCACCCCACACCTATTTTGGTTTGGGTTGGATGTTGGGTATATTGTTAAAGGCCTTGACCCTGACTCTTTCCAGCAAACTGGTGGAGGCTAGGGAGAAGGGGAACTTTCCCCAGCACTGCTCCCAGAGCCCCAGCTTTAAGTTTTTGCAGAAGGAATGTCTGTCCTTCTTCCTCTTTAGTGGACTGTTGGAAACCATGACTATCTGTCCAGACTTGGTATGTGGCCCCCTACTTAACTAAACCTGTCACCAGCCCCACACGCTAAGATCAGCTGCCCCTGGTGTCTGTCAAGGGTACTGCTGTGACGGTAGAGTGCTTCCATCTGGCCACAAGCCAGGCAGCAAATCCTCCTTGTTATTACATTTGCAAGTCCCGTTGGGTTAGAAAACGTTAAAGATCTGAATGCACTGGGACCCTAGTTTGGCCAGTATACTGTCGCCTCATCAAGCCCCTGGAAGAGAAGACATTGGCTCAGGATACAAGGCTGCCTGAGTCCCCAGGGGCAGCTGGTCCTAGGACCAGTTCCTAAGCACCTCCTGTAGCTCTGGACGACCCCGTTTTCTCCTCCTTCTGGAAAGCTGCCTTGCGGAGCCAGGGTTAAAGAGTGCTGAGCAGACCCTGGCTGCACAGAGAAAGCAAGCAGCTCCAGACAGCCAGACCCGCCACTCCTGATCACTGCTAAGTGCCGTGAATGCACTGGAGGGCCAACCTCTCCGGCCCCCTTGACAGCCCCAGCAGCAGGGCAGCAGGGAAGCCAGCCAGCCCCTTGTTCAGTTGGAGACTGCTATGTATATTTGATGTTGCTGCCATTGTTAAGTTCTTCTAAGTGGAATATAATGAGCTTCTGCATTCGTTTGTGGGGGGAGAAGGGGGGAAACGCAGATCTGTGTGACAGGTCTGTCCCAGCCCTTGGAACAGAAGGACAGAGAGACCCAAGCCTGGCCACCTCTCCCAGAGCTCCTGGTTGGAGCCTTGGGACAGCAGAGCCGTCTTTTACTTTGGCGTCATAATTCTGAAGCCCCTCCCCAGGCACAGCCTTGAGTCAGTCTTCTAAAAGTCAGGGAGCCCCCCTCCCATACCCCCAAACCAATGACCCATGAATTTTCTTTTTACTTTTTCTGGTCCTAGGACTTGAACTCTGGGCCTTGGTACTGTCCCTGAACTTTATTTATTTATTTATTTTTATTTTCCTGCATGAGGCTAGCACTCTACTACTTGAGCCACAGCTCCACTTCGGGTTTTCTGGTAGTTCACTGGAGATAAGAGTCTCATGGACTTTCCTGCCTGCACTGGCTTCAAACCAAAACTCTCAGATCTCAGCCTCCTAAGTAGCTAGGATTACAGGCATGACCAGTGCCGGGCCAGCTCACGATTTTAAGCCAACAGGAGCCCCCTCAGGGAGTGCCTTGGATGGCTGAAACCTGGGTCACTGACCACCCAGCCTTGGCTAGGCCTGGACCCTGTTCCCTCCCCAAGCTTCTCTGCTGCAGCCCTTTAGGAACAGGCTGCATCTGGGCCCAGCTCGTGTGCTCCAGCCTCTGACCTGGCATATCCGGTCTCTCTGTCTCCACAGGCACCGCTTGGAGGAGGGTCAGGCCACCAGCTGGTCCCGGCGGCTCAAAGTATTCCTCTGTTGCACCCGGACCAAGGACTCCCAGTCAGTAAGTACTGGGAGGTGGCTCCCTGCAGGCCCATGCCCGGCGATGCAGACCCTTTTACCTCTTTGGCAAAGCAGGGTGGACAGGATTGGGCAAGAGGTACTGGGCTTTGCGTGTGAGCAGGTGACAGCCTGCTTGTACGACGGTCTGTTCTCCATTGACCAGCTCCCCCAGCCGGGAAAGCAGCTGTCCACTTGCTTTGTCAAAGGAACAGAAAGACACAATGCCTTTAGTTTCGGACAAATGCTCACGGGTCAGGCAACCTCCAGACAAGAACAGTGGGTCCATTTGTCAGCAGCAAATGATCTGGAAAGTCTGGACTCACTGTCAAGTGCTCTGCATGGGGCTGGACATCAGTTCAGTTGATGCAAACAGAGATCCAGACATACGAGTACTGTGGAAGGAAAGCACAGTCAGCCACAGATGGCCCTGAGGATAGAAAAGAGACAGGACTTAGCCTATCATTCAGTTTTGCAGATTAGGCAGTTGGGGGTGTGATTTGCTCAGTTTCCCCCCAGCAAGTGAATAACAGAGCTAGTGAGGTCAGAAGACCCCCTTGTGCCCGAGAGCAAAGTGCGCTCCTCAGAAGCCACTGGAAACTTTGCCGCCAGCAACTCCTGGTGAGCCATGTGGTCAGGGAGGCCATAGAGGAAGACCCAAGGCACGCTGGGCAGGTGGGTAGCACGTCTGGGGTCTGTCCAGGGAGGTCTGAGGGGTCACAGGCAGTCATGCAAGGAGTGGTCCCCTGATAGATGGAGGCTAGGTTTGTCAAGGCTGATGGAAGGTGCTCGTGCCCCTCCTGGACCCACGTGTAGAGATGGGGTTGTTGTTTGAGCTTGAAGCCAAGGACATATGTCTCAGGGGAGTTTCTGAGTATCAATCCAGGTAGAAATGGACTGCCCTAGGAACAGGTCCAGTCCAAGTGCTTTTAAAAAATAAACAACAACAACAACAAACTTTGGGGATGGCAGGGCTAGGGACTGAACTCATGCTTGCTAAGCAAGCACTCTACCATTTGAACATTGACCAGTCCCTTTGCTTTTCCTTTGTTTTCGTTTTTTTTTTTTTTAATAGGATCTATAAGCTTTTGCCTAGGCAGGCCTTCAACAGTAGACTTACTTCTTCCTCTCAAGCAGCTGGGATTATAGGGATATACTACCACCCTTGGCTCTGAGTAATTTTTGTCTGTTGTTAGTTTGGGGATTTGCTTTTTGGTTTATTTTGGGGAGGGGGATCATAATGGTTTTAGATACTAGGGCTTGAACTCAAGGCCTGAGCATTGTCTCTTGGCTTTTTCTGTTCAAGTCTGGTACTCTATTACTCAAGCCACACTCTACCTCTGGCTTTTTGGTGCTTAATTGGAGATAAGAGTCTCATGGACTTTCCTGCCTGGGCTGGCTCCAAACTGGGACCCCCAGGGGTTTCAGCCTTTTAAGTAGCTAGGGTGACAGGTGTGAGCCACCGGCTCCCAGCTTCTGAGTGCTGTCCCATCGATTTAAAAATCTGTCATTTACATAAACCATATTTCCAAGTCTAGCGCCTCAGTCCCTCTGGGCCGCCAGCTGGAACTGTGGGCAGTGGCCCACACTGTGTGTGGCCTTCTTGGGCCTTTGAGTCTTCAACTTTAGATTTCTTTTTTTCTCTCTCTCTTTCTCTCTCTTCCGCATGCTAGACATCCCAACAGGAGACCAGAGAAGCACGGCCAGTTGCTGAGTTTGTTCCCCTTTGGCATCTTCCGGGGCTTCAGGCCCCAGGGTAGCGAGAGGCAGGGAGTCTCAGAGCCACTGACAGTGGGACTCGTCTTTACCTATGTCCCTGCTGAGGACAGGGCCTGGAGGAAGCAGAGAGGTCACTGGTCCAGCAATCACACCCCTTCTCAACCACATCATGGGCACCACTGAACATTGTGTGTGGGGCTCCAGACCCTCAAGGCTCCAGAGTCTTTGGCAGGGGCTGGGGAGGGAGTGCTTCCAGGATCCTGGATGGTGGGGTGATTGCTGAATGCTTCCTATGGCTTCTCTGCTCGACACAGCCCGTGGAACAAGCTGAGCCATGGCACCTTGGTTCCTAGTTTGGGAAGGAGCAGTGGCTCCAGCTGGCTCCCAGGCTGGGTGGATGCTTGAGCCGCGTGCTGGCATCTAGAGCAGAGGCCTGGGCCGTGGGAGAGGCTCAGTGTGGCTGACTCCCGCCAGGCCTGCAGGAACCGGGGCGCTCGAGGTCGCAGCTGCCCAGAGCCAGCTGGGCGGGCCTGGGCCGGACTGCGCAGGTGCCACAGGACACCTGCCCTGGGGGATTCACTCCGGGTCTCTCGGCCTCTTCTGTCCCTCTGCCGCTGCCCCCTGCCTTCCTGAATCTCACAGGATGCCTACTCGGAAATCGCCTACCTCTTCGCCGAGTTTTTCCGGGACCTGGACATTGTGCCGTCTGACATCATTGCTGGCCTAGTGCTGCTCCGGCAGCGGCAGCGAGCCAAGCGCAACGCGGTGCTGGACGAGGTGAGGGTGCTGGGGCCCCCGCCCCGCCTCCCGCCCCGCCTCCCGCCCCTCCCTGTGGCCCCGCCCCGCCTCCTGCCTCTCCCTGTGGCCGCCCCGCCTCCTGCCCCTCCCTGTGGCCGCCCCGCCTCCTGCCCCTCCCTGTGGCCGCCCCGCCTCCTGCCCCTCCCTGTGGCCGCCCCGCCTCCTGCCCCTCCCTGTGGCCGCCCCGCCTCCTGCCCCTCCCTGTGGCCGCCCCGCCTCCTGCCCCTCCCTGTGGCCGCCCCGCCTCCTGCCCCTCCCTGTGGCCGCCCCGCCCGCCCGCTCCCGCCTCCTGGGATCTTCAACTCTCTCCACTGGCTGCTCTCCATCACTGCTAAAGAAACGCCCGGGTGCCTCCTGTTTGAGTGACTCCCCGTCTGGACTGTCCCTTTTGGGCCAAGCCCTTTTGGGGCTTGAACTTGGGGCCAGGGCACCACTGCTCTACCACTGGAGCCAGAGCTCCCTTCCCGCCTTCTTGGGAGATTAGAGTCTCACGGACTTTCCCGCCTGGGCTGGCTTTGAACTCTTTGATCTTCAGAGCTCAGCCTCCTGAGTGGCGAGGATTACAGGTACCAGCCACTGGTGCCTGACCTACTTTTTTCTTTATTTTCTCCAGTTCTTTGCCTGTAGCCAGCCTCAATCTGGGATCCTCCTAACAATGCCTTCCACGTGGCTGGAATTACTATAGGTTTATGTTATGATATGCAGCTTGTTCTTTGAGATGGAGTCGTTTTGTATTTTTTTGTCTCAGCTGGCTATTAAACCACGATCCTCCTAATTTCTGCTTCCCAAGCAGCGGGCATTTCAGGCATGTACCACCACGCCCCACCTTCCAAGGATTTCTAATCACAGGGACCCCTGGTGACCATTGCCAGCCCGGTGCTTTTGACCTCTGGCTTTACTGCTCTATCCCTGCCAGCACACCAGTTCCGGCTCTGCCAGTCTGTCCCAATTCCCTTTCCCCTGGGTGTGGGCCAGGAGTCCCCTTGGGGCTTGGGGCTCTGGGTTGAAAGGGAACAACTAGAAATACAAGGGAAGTGCTGCCTGTTGCATACCACCCACTCACTGTCTGGGGCCCTGGGATCTTTGGGAAACAGGGGGTGCCCAGGGCCGCAACCTCTTTCTCAGCCCTGTGTCTGGATTTGTCAGGCAAACAATGATATCTTGGCCTTCCTATCCGGGATGCCAGTGACCAGAAACACCAAGTACCTGGACCTCAAGAACTCGGTGAGTCACAAGGCCCCGGCCCCTCCATCCTCTTCTCCAACTGCCATCAGGCCTCCCAGAAGCCCCTCCTCACATCACCCCCAAGTGCCCCCCACCCCACCCGACACCCTTCACCAAACTATTGCACCGTGAGCTGGGAAAACCACTGCTAGTGAGAAGTGCACTGGGGCATAGCGGGCTTCCTAGAACCTTCTCTCAAGTGCCTTGGGTTGAAATCCCAGGGCTTAAAGAAGAGCCGGGCCCATGGCACCATGCCCAGCCCAGGGCACTGTGGTGCAGCCTCAAACCATAGCTGGCAACAGGAAGACCGGCCTTGTTGCCGAACCACAGAGCAAGTCCTCGTCCTTCTGAGCTGGTCCCCGCCCTGGGCACACACCCCACCCAGAGCTCCAGGGGACAGTGAGGGCATGAGGGAGTCCTAAGCCCAGCCCCACGAGCACCGGGCCCAGCACCACCCTTGGGTGATCTCTGTCTGTCCTTCAGAAAAGCCTAGGTTTCCTTCTGCTCCACTCACCAAAGCCCGCGTAACAGGTGCTCCTGCCAATCTCCACGGCCTGGCCTGCCCCGCTAGGGGAGGGGCGGGGCAGGGCAGAGGCTGCCAGAGCCCCGCCCACCAGGGAGCTCAGGCATGGCATAATTACCCCTGGGGCACTGAGGAAGGCCTGCCGGCCTGACTTCACGAGATGACTAATCGTCCCCGCTCACTCTGACAAGGTGACTAATTCCCTGTAAGTGCCACCGTCCTCCGGCGCCCAGGGGCACGTGGAACTGACTGGCCAGGACCCTGTGGTTCCCAGTTCTGCTCTCTCTCTCTCTCTCTCTCTCTCTCTCTCTCTCTCTCTCCAGCCCAGGATGTTGATAACACAGGTTTCTAGCCACCACACTTTAGACTCCCCAAGTTTCCAACCTGTGCCTTTTTCTGTAGAATGACCCCAATCTCCCTGACCCCTCCCTTTCCCCACCCCCCCAGCCTCAGAGGCTGAGACTTCATGAGTCAGAACAGAGAGAAGTCAATTCCCTGACAGCAAAGCCCTTTCCTGGGACCCCATTGCTAGAATGGGGTTGTGGACCACACATGCTCCCTCCCCCCCCTTTCCTGGGGGGCGGGGGGGAAGCCAGGCAATCGATCTCATGCTCCAAGTGAATTTTCTGTCTCCCAATCATTAATTTAGAGATTGGAGCTACCAGGATGGGACTCAACGGGACTCAGGAGAATACATTCCCTGGGCACATGTGTATGTGGAGGTACCCTGCCTCCTCCACGCCCCCTCCCTGCTGTCCCACCTCCGGGACCAGCTGAGCAGAGGCCACAGACAGAAGGTCTGGGGGCCACCTTCCCCTGCGTCCTGTCTTCCAGCACGAGATGCTGCGCTACAAGGAAGTCTGTTACTACATGCTGTTCGCCCTGGCGGCCTACGGCTGGCCCATGTACCTGATGCGGAAGCCCGCCTGCGGCCTGTGCCAGCTGGCTCGTTCCTGCTCGTGAGTACCCCACTGGGGCCTGGCTTGGAATCCAGACCATCCCTTGCAGCCTGGGGGAAGTCAGTGCACCTCGCGGGGACCTGTGAAATGGGGTGATTGAGACCCTGCTGGTTTTGTTCATTCCCTGCCCCTTCTGGCTGTCTCTGTACACACACACACACACCATCCATTTCCCTTCTATTCACCTCTCTCCATCTCTGGCTCTTCTTCTGGGCACTGCTTTTCTGGAATTAAATTGTCTTGGAAGGGAGGCCTACTCTATGGAAGGTTCTAGAAAGGTATCCAGAAGGCCCTTTAGCAAGAAGCCCCAATTTCTTTTCCCCTCCTGGGGAAGGCCTCAGCCACAGATCTGGCTGCAGCCTGGCTCAGGGCGTGAGGGCTGGGGGGGAGGTCTCTGCATTTCTAAGTGGGCCAGAGAAGGGCTCCAGGAAGGACCCTCTCTCGTGACGGCTCCGCCCTCAGTCCATGCCAGGGAGAAGCAGGACAGCTCCCTGGACTCGTGTTCCAGAAAGGCTGGCCTCTAGGTCAGCTGCTTCCCCGCCCCTCACCCCAGGGACCACCAGAGTCACGCCTGCTCTTTCCTGGGAAAGCTACTGGCTCTTGGGACTTGGTTCTTTTTCTTGTTTTTTCTCTTTTTCTTTTGCTTTTTGTGTTCAGTTGTGGGGCTTGAACTCAGGACCTGGGCTCTCTCAGCGCTTTTGCTCATGGCTAGCACTCTACCACTTTGAGCCACAGCTCCACTTCTGGTTTTCTGGCGTTTAATTGGAGACAAGAGTCCCGCAGATGGGGCTGTGCTTTGAACTGCGATCCTCAGACCTCAGCCTCCTGAGTAGCTAGGATGACAGGTGTGAGCCACCAGCCAACAACGGGCTTCTTTTTCTTTTCTTGTGCTGGTACTGAGGCTTGAACTCAGAGCTTCACACTCTCCTTTGGCTTTTTTTCACATCACATTTTTTTTGCTCAGGCTGGCTTTGAACTAGGATTCTCAGATCTCACCTCCTGAGTAGCTAGGATTACAGCGCGATCACTAGCACCTGGCTCTATCAGCCTTCTCCATACTGAATGGGAGAGACAGAACAGAGCCCTTGGCCCTGAGAGGGTTCAGTTAGGGCAGGGCTTCACCCTTACGAAGCACCTGCATGTGCTGGACCTTTGGTTTCCCAGCATCCCCCCGGGAAGCAGCTGCCAGCCCCCCACTCATACAGCAGGGGAGGCCAAGGGGCTGGTGGGGCAGTGCCCTCCAGGCCTATAAAATCAAGAGGTGACGTTGTCAGGAAGAGTTCCAAGTACAGTCCTAAGTGCAAGGCCGTATCACTACAGAGCCAGGCTCCACCCAGGGGACAGAGGGCAGGAGTTCGGGGCCCACCGTCACCACCACCACCCGCACTTGCCCTGGTGGTATGGAAGCTGCTGGTGGGTGACTGGCCCGGCTCTCTGGTGAGCATTCTGGTTGGCTTCCAGACTTTGGATTAACTCCAGAGTTTCTCCATTGAGAAGCAACAGTTCCATGACCCCTGAGAGAAGAAAAATGTCTCAGTCTCACCAAAATCCTGGTGGTGTTGATAAAATCTCACTGCGCTGGCAGCTTAAGTCAACTGACAACCCAGGTCACTCCCTCGCTAGGCTGATCCGTTGGATACAGGCTCCCTCTGGTGGCTTATATTGGAACTGCAGTCCAAACTAGGGGCTCAGAGCTGGCTCAGCCAGCCATCCTCTTTGGGGAAGCCTCCCCTGTGCCTGGCAGATTTGTACTGGGGACACAGCTGTGATGAGCACAGGGGAGAGCCCCTGCCCGCCCCGCGGAGCCCCAGCTGAGACAATGTGAAGAAAGAAAGTCTATTGTGTGTCAGAGTAGATGGCGCCCCCAAAGGATGCAGGAGATGGGGAAGCTCCATCAGAACATAGCCAGGTAGGCAGAGCCTCAGGCCTCAGTAGGACCAAGGTTCTTAAGCTAGGTAAGGAGGGCACCATTATGGGGTCTGGTTTGACTTCTTTTTAAAGGGTCACGGTGCTGCTGAGTGGAGAACCCTGGGCAGCTGTGGATGAGGGAGGCCAGGCAGGTACCAGCCTCGGGAGGGACACCCAGGCAAAAAGAGAGGGGAGAAAGCACAGGGAGGAGCTGGTGCTGTACCTGGAGTCAAAGCCCAGCTCGTGGGGGATCTGGGGGGGGGGGGAGAGCTGGTCCCAGGGCCTGGACTTGGAACCGGAAGTGCTTGGAGATCAGATCTGGAGTGGGTTGTAGAGCATGTCCATGGCATTTAGAGCCCAGCACTGGGTGGGTGCAGACAGGATGCATAGCTAGAGAGAAGAGGAGGCTCAAGCTAGACTTGGAACCCTTGGTGACAGAGAACAAGCCAGGGAGGAGGGCCAGTCCAGGAAGAGACTGGAAGAAGAGGCATTTTCAGCCAACTGGAGATGGACCTGTGGGTCAGGGCCTTCTAAGAGATCATGTGTTGGGAGCCAGAAGTGACTGGTGAGTATGATAGCATGATGGTCACTGGGGACAAAGCAAAGATGATTCTGGAGACCAGATGGGACTAGAAATCCAACTAGAAACTGTGCGCCGGTGGTTCACGTCTATGATCCTAGCTACTCAGGAAGCTGAGAGATCTGAGGATTGCAGTTCAAAGCCAGCTTGGGGAAGGAAAGTCCATGAGACTCTTATTTCCAAGTAAGCACCAAAAAGCTAAAAGTGGAGTTGTGGCTCAAGTGGCAGAGCTCCAACCTTGCACCAAAAGCCCAGGGACAACACCCAGGTCCTGAATTCAAGACCCCAGGATCAGCACAGAGAGAGAGAGAGGAGAGAGAGAGAGAAACTAGAGCCCCATCCAGAGAAGATGGAGGAGAAAAATGCCCCATCAAGCCAGGTGCTGGTGGCTCACTCCTGTAATCCCAGCTACTCAGGAGGCTGAGATCTGAAGATCTCAGTTCAAAGCCAGCTCAGGCAGGAAAATCTGTGAGACTCTTATCTCCAATTAACCACTCAGAAAACCAGAAGAAGTGGTGCTGTGGCTCAAGTGGTAGATGAAGCGCTGAGGGACAGCGCTCAGGCCCAGAGTTCAAGGCCTATGACTGAAAAAAAAAAAAAAAAGCCCTATCAGGGGTCCCCGGCCCTGAGCTCATGGCCGCCGCTCCCTAGATGCTGCCTGTGCCCAGCACGGCCCCGATTCGCCCCCGGAGTCACCATCGAGGAAGACAACTGCTGTGGCTGCAATGCCATCGCCATCCGCCGCCACTTTCTGGACGAGAACATGACGGCGGTGGACATTGTCTACACCTCCTGCCACGACGCGGTGAGGGCCAGGCGGGGCCGGGCGGTGCGGTGGGGTGGGGGTGAGGGGCCTGGGGGCCGCTGCAGCCTGCCCGCCGTGGGCTGGGCCGGGGCAGCCCCTCCTCTTCCACATCCCGGGCTGCATCGGGCTCTTCCTGCCCAGCCTTAAGGAAATGAGAAAAGAAAAAAACAAAGCGGGGAGGCCGTGCACTGGGGTGCCCAGAGGTCCCAGGAACCCTGGTCTTGGCAGGCCTGAAGGGGTTCCCAGGCCACAGGAGCCGGAGGATTTCTTAGCCAGGAAGACAGCTAGTGTCATGCTCTCTAACTCTAGCCCCATGCCGGGGTTCTGGGGCTCATGGGCTGCCACCTCCTAGGTCTATGAAACCCCCTTCTACGTGGCAGTGGACCATGATAAGAAGAAGGTGGTGATCAGTATCAGGGGAACCCTGTCCCCGAAGGTATGCTGCCCATGGCTCCCCCGGGGGCCCCTCAAAGCCTCCCCATTCCCATCCTCCTCAGCCTCCTCTCACCTGCCCCTTCTCCCTCCTCCCCAGGATGCCCTGACCGACCTGACCGGCGATGCTGAGCGTCTCCCCGTGGAGGGGCACCGAGGCACCTGGCTAGGACATAAGGTACCCACTCTGTGTGCCTTCAGGGCCCCTGACCTTCTCTTCCCCAGCCCCTTGGCCTGCGTGTGTGTACACACGCGCATGCGTGCATGCATACTTGCGCATGCGCACACCAGGGGACTTGACTGCTGAGCCACTGGGAGAGACTGGTCAGAGAGCTGTGCATTAGTCTGGAAGGTTCCTGTGGCCCATCTCCATGGGATGCCCCCCCCACACACACACACAGCCCAGAACAGGAGTGCCCATTCCCAGGAGGGCAAGGGGGCCTGGGGAGGCTGTGGGGCCCAAATCACACCAGTGTGTCCTGGGCACACTGCCCTCTGAGCCTCTGTCTCCTCCTCTCTGGGATTGACCCCAGGGGAGCATGGCGTAGGGCAGGGTCCATGGGCCTCAGTCACTGTGGTCACCTGCCGCCAACCCTACCCTGTTCCTCTCGCCAGGGCATGGTGCTGTCCGCCGAGTACATCAAAAAGAAGCTGGAGCAAGAGATGGTCCTGTCCCAGGCCTTCGGGCGGGACCTGGTGAGGCGTCTTCCGTGCCCCCCACCCCTCCAGCCTGAGGCCCCTGCTGCCCCTCCCCCAGCTCTGTCCCACAGCTGGAGATGCCCCGTGCACCCCACCCAGGTACCCAGTACCTGCTCCCTGCCTGCTCAGCACTGAGCCGTTTGTTCCAAAAGAAAGTTTAGTGGAGCACTCAAAATAGAGAGCAGAATGACAGCGACACGCAGCAGCTCTGCTTGGCAATCTGAACCCGGACCCCCACCCCATTTCCCACACCCCCGCACAGGCAGCAACTGAGGCCCTGCCAGCTGCCCCTTCCCTGGCCCTGCAGACTCTACACTAGTAGCTTAAGGAAGAGGGAAGGGGACAGGTAGCCTAATGGTTAGCATAGAGGACAATCATAGTAATAAACACTCAGAGATGCAATGCTGAGGAGGGTGTGGAAAATCAGGGAGGGCTTCCCCAAGGAAGAACCTCTGAGCAAGGTTTTGAAGGATGAGTAGGAGTTCGTGAATACAGTCTCCCTAAGCAAGCAGTCTGTGGGGACCAGCATCCATGCAGGACAGACTTGATCCCAGGACTCTGCAGAAAGTCCTCTGCCTCCCTGGTGTCAGCGGGGGCACTGAGCTTGGCAGGCAGCAGGGCACGGCTCTCAGGCTTCTCTTGGTGCCCAGGGCCGCGGAACCAAACACTACGGCCTGATTGTGGTGGGCCACTCCTTGGGTGCGGGCACAGCCGCCATCCTCTCCTTCCTCCTGCGCCCGCAGTACCCAACCCTCAAGTGCTTCGCCTATTCACCCCCCGGGGGCCTGCTGAGGTGAGCAGCCCTGGAGTAGGCTGGTATGACTGGAGCCATCGAGGGCTGGTGGGGCTAGACTGGGGCCGCCCAACTTCCGGTCACAGGGAGGGGCTGGGAATGGCCTCGTGCATGGAGTGTGGTGGGCCCCCCCAGAAGGCATGGAGCTCAGTGGCGTCGCCGCCCACCCCGGGAATGCTGGGGCTCCCGCCATGCCCCTGATCCATGCCTGAACACCTTCCTCCCTCCCTCCCCCTTCTCCCACAGCGAGGACGCCATGGAGTACTCTAAGGAGTTTGTGACTGCCGTGGTACTGGGCAAAGACCTCGTCCCCAGGTGAACCCCCACCCCGGTCCCCAGCCCCAAGCTCCCCACCCCACTCCTCATCTCCCTGCGGATCCTCCTACCCCCAGCACCACCGGCTCACACCAGTCATCCTAGCTACTCAGGCCGGGCGCTGGTGACTCACGCCTGTAATCCTAACTATTCAGGAGGCTGAGATCTGAGGATCACGGTTCAAAGCCAGCCAGGGCAGGAAAGTCCATGAGACTCTTACCTCCAATGAACCACCAGAAAACCAGAAGTAGCACTGTGGCTTCAGTGGTAGAGCGCAGGCCTTGAGCTGAAGAGCTCAGGGACAGTGCCCAGGCCCAGAGTTCAAGCCCCACGACCGACAACAACAATAAAAAAGACTGAGATCTGAAAATTGCAGTTCAAAGCCAGCCCAGGCAGAGGTCTCTTATCTGTGAAACTCTTATCTCCCATGAACCAGCAGGAAAAAAAAAAAAGTTGGAAATGGATTAGGCCAAGTGGTAGAGCATCAGTCTGGAATGAAAAAGCTAACAGACAGCACTTAGGCTGTGAGTTCAAGCCCTTGTACCTGTATGCACACCACACACACACACACACACACACACACACACACACACACACACATATGTATGTCGTTGCTGGCACCCGTACCTTGCTTGGCTCCACCTTTCTTCCGCTCCCCTCCGCCGAGCTACAGACTCCATGCTACCTCCAACCTGGTAGACTGGCCTTGTCAGTGGTAGCCAGGCACAGGCCAGCCCACTCTACCCCCTCACCCCCCTCCCTTATTTCCCTCCACTCCCCTCCCAGCCCTGGCCAGGCCAGACTGACACCTCTCTCTCTCTCTCTCTCTCTCTCTGCCCCTCCCCCAGGATCGGCCTGTCCCAGCTGGAAGGTTTTCGTCGCCAGCTCCTGGATGTCCTACAACGCAGCACCAAGCCCAAAGTGAGCTCCTGCCTGGCATTCTGGCCTTGGGGCAGTCCTAGCTGTCCCTGTCCTGGAGTTCCCCGCTGATCCCCCAGGACAAAGCACAAAGGGCCCCACTGTGGATCTGGAAACCTCAAACCCTCAGTCTCTAAGCTCAGTCTATCCAGCCCCTGTCCTTGGACAGGTGGGGAAACTGAGGCCCAGGCCCAGTGTGGGAGGGCCCTGCCTCAACTGTGTTAGACTTGGAAGAGCCAGGATGGACTACACTGAGCTGTCTGAACTCATCTGATCCTTGAGCGGCCATATTTGGAATGGGCAAGAAAAGCCGTTTATTCTGGGCTGGGAATGTGGCTTAGTGGTAGAGTGCTTGCCTAGCACGCATGAAGCCCTGGGTTCAATTCCTCAGTACCTCATACACAGAAAAAGGTGGAAGTAGTGCTGTGGCTCAAGTGATAGAGTGCTAGCCTTGAGCACAGCGAGGCTCAGGGACAGAACCCAGGCCCTGAGTTCACGCCCCAGGACTGGCAAAAAAAAAATAAAAGCCTTTCTTCAAAGCCTGCAAGGTAAAGCCTAGGCCCCAAGAAGGCTGGGTGCTCTGTGGGGAGGACACAGTCTGCTCCTGTCTTCTGCTGGAGTCAAGAGGAGAGGGCCAGCTCTCCCCTGTCTGTACCAGGTCTTGAGGAATGCTAGCAGGCCATTGGCACCAGGAGTGTGGGGCGAGGCTGGGTGCTGTGGCCCTGGCATGGGCCAACAGCAGCAGGAGCCCACTCAGAATGTCCATGAGGTCGCTCTTCATTGGCCCCATCAGGAGTGCCCTCGCCCCCATTCAGTACCTCAGCCTGTCGGTGCTGTTCCCAGCCCTGGTGTCTGTGACCTTCTGGCGGCAGAGCCCGTGGTCCAGTGCCAGGTGTCAGGTAGTGGGCAGGAGAGCCTAGCTTCACCGGCCTGTGTCTGTCTAGAGGACCCAGCTCTGGGCAAGAGGCATTGTCTCTACCTGGGCTTGACCTGAGCATTCATGGTACCTGGAGTCAAGTATCTGGGACCTGACCCAGACCTGGCCAGGCCTAGCAGGTACAGACTGATCAAACTGAGGTCAGTTCTGCCTCCAACTTGCGGAATGATCTAGAACAAGTCCCTTCCCTCACTGGGCCTGTCTCCCATCTACTAGATGAGGGCTTGGCTGGTCCCCCAGCCCCTTGCCAGCCATGAAATTCAACAATTCCATGTCATCTGTCCTTGGCATCTTATTGGCCATCTGGCCATCGTACACTTCAACCACTGCCTCTTCAGGTGGGCACCGACCTTTAATGCCCTGGCCACAATCCCTTCTGCCCCTTCACCATCCCCCTCCCCCTCACCTGTTGAGCCTTCCTGAGCACCCCAGCCCCGCCCAGCCAGCCAGCCTTGCTCAGCCCCCACTGCCTCTCCCTGCCCTCCCCCCACAGTGGCGGATCATCGTGGGGGCCACCAAGTGCATCCCTAAGTCAGAGCTGCCCGAGGAGATGGAGGTGACCACACTAGCCAGCACGCGGCTCTGGACCCATCCCAGCGACCTGACCATCGCCCTCTCGGCCAGTACCCCGCTCTACCCGCCCGGCCGCATCATCCACGTGGTCCACAACCACCCCGCGGAGCAGTGCTGGTAGGTGACACCCAGGGCTCCAGATCCATGGCCACCCAGGGTGTGGACGGGGGCAGCATCTGGGCACCTCAGTCCACAGTGCTATGCTTCAGCCTCAGTGTCAGTCCTTCCCTGCTGCTCCCCAGTGGTGCCCGCCTGGCCCTTCCACCATGAAGAGTGGATACTGGGCCCAGTGGTGGTGGCTCACGCCTGTAATCCTAGCTGTTCAGGAGATCTGAGAATCACAGGTCAAAACCAACCTAGGCAGGAAAGTTGGTGAGACTAGTATCTAATTAACTAGCAAAAAGCTGCAAGTGGTGGTGTGGCTCAAGTGGTAGAATGCCAGCCATAAGTAGGCAAGGTGGAGTTCAATCCCCAGCACAGGGGCATATGAACACACCAAACACCCCCACCACACACACACACAGTGTGGATGTTGGCCTGAGGATGTAGCTCAGTGTTAGAGGACTTGCCTAACATATGCAAGGGGGGGGGGAGGAAGGAAGCTGGGTGCCAGTGGCTCATGCCTGTAATCCTAGCTACTCAGGAGGCTGAGATTTGAGACTTGTATTCAAATCCAGCTTGGGCAGGAAAATCCATGAGACTCTTATCTCCAATTAATCATAGAAAAAGCTGGAAGTGGAGCTGTGGCTCAAGTGGGAGAGGGCTAGCCTTGAGCACAAAAGCTCAGGGACAGTGATCAGGCCCAGAGTTCAAACCCCTGGTTGGCAGGGGAGGGGAGGGTGGCATCTTGGCAGCTGCTCATCTGTCAGGCCTTGGCCAGCGCACACTTCAGTGTTCCCAGAATTGGTCGGCAGACAGCTGTGGGCCCAACGCTCAGTGAACAGCAAGAGAGGAGCAGGACCCAACACAGACTTTCTCAACTTCATGTTCTTAAAACTTGGGCCTGCTTCGCAGTATTTACTATCTCTCTTGACCAAGAGCTAGCCACTAGGCCTTGATGGGGCTGGAGCAGGCGTGCCCCAGATCTGTAGCAGCTGGAGGGGACAGGGGAAGGAGGGGCGCTGCAGTTTCAGGTCAGCACTTTCCAGGCTCAGAACAGTGCCTGAGTCAGGAGGCCTGTAGCCCTGCTGGCCAAATGGGGCCGGGGGCAGAAGGGGTGGGTGAAGGGGCCTCCAGACCCATCCTCCAACCCCAGCCCTGCTAAGCAAGGAAACACGGCAGAGACACCTGACACCCCCACACATACTTCCCTCTGGCCCCTATGTCCCTCTCAGCTGCTGTGAACAGGAGGAGCCCACATACTTCGCCATCTGGGGAGACAACAAGGCCTTCAATGAGGTGATCATCTCTCCGGCCATGCTGCATGAGCACCTGCCCTATGTGGTCATGGAGGGGCTCAACAAGGTGAGCGGCAGACTGCTCCCCTCAGGGATGGGGAGGCCAGGAGACACCCCTTCCCCCACCCAGGGCCTGTCCATGGCCCAGGCTAACAGGAGGCCCAGGTGGCCACCTGACATTTACCAGACCAAGGGATGGCTCCGCCTCCTCAGCTCCTCGAGGGCAGCCATAGGCCAACCTGTTCCATTTGTGGGCGGGGCATCCTGTGCCAAGTCCCAGGCTTGCCTTGAGGAGCAGAGCCCCTCAGGAGGAGAAGTGAGACCCCCCTCCCCCGACCCACCACACTGCTCTGGGAGCTTCATGTCTGTGGCGCCTCCATGCCAGCCCCCCTCATCCTGCCCCCCAGGTGCTAGAGAACTACAACAAGGGAAAAACAGCGCTGCTGTCTGCTGCCAAGGTCATGGTGAGCCCCACCGAGGTGGACCTGACTCCTGAGCTCATCTTCCAGCAGCAGCCGCTGCCCACAGGACCACCCCTGCCCGCCGGCCTGGCCCTGGAGCTGCCGGCCACGGACCACCGCAACAGCAGTGTCCGGTAAGTCCTGGGCCCTGGACCACCCAGTCCCTTCCCCAGGGGCTGTGGTATGTGTGTGTGTGGGGGGGGTAATGCACATTGGTGCGCATGCCCATCCAGTGTGAGTCCTGGGCTGAATTTCCCTCTCTGCTCCAATCAGCCTGCAACCTACCATCACAGAAGGGGTCTCAGGTTTCCGCCATGTGGGCTGGGGGATTTTGAGGCACCACGCAGACCTGCAGACTGCAGACATACAGATTCACCCATTCTCACTTAGACTCAAACAGATGGACATCTGCACTCACACATGTGTGTGTATGTATGGACTTGCATTGGAGCCTGCACAGTCATAACATATGTGTATGTACCATTTTTAGCCTTGAGTGTATAGATTATTACAAATGCACATACAGATCTACAGGACACTCTTGGACAGGCAGATATGGGTACAAATGCGTGAATTACCTGTGCTAGGCACACAGGCATACAGGCATCACCCACACACTGCTCATGCTCACACATACTGTTAGGAGGATTGTCCTGCCTCTGGGATCCTCTCCCAACCCCCAGGAGGCGCTGTGGTCACAGATCCTTCCAAGAGATTGCTGAGGGGAGGGGCCGCTGCTTCCTGGTCCTTGGTAGGGACCCTTGAACAGCTCTTCCTGCATGCAGACATTTCTTGTGGCAGCTCTGTGCTTGACCCCAGTAAGCACTACAACCACCCACTCCTCTATCCCCTGCAGGCTGGTCTGCAGAGCCAGTGCCCCAGGGTTCCCCATCCTGCAGAGGGCTGCACCCCTGGGAAAGGCAGGGGGGCCCCAGGATGAAGAAGCAAATGAAAGGGGTCTCTAGGGTGGGAGTTATTACTGGGACTTAAAATCAGGGTCTTAAAATCAGGAGCTTAAAATCAGGTCCCTGAGCTTTTTTGCTCAAGGCTAACACTCTATCACTTGAGCCACACCTCCACTTCTGGCTTTTTGGTGGTTAATTGGCAATAGAGTGTCATGGACATTTCTGCCTAGGCTGGCTTTGAACCATGATCCTCAGATCTCAGCTTCTGGAGTAGCTAGGATTACAGGTGTGCCTGGTAATAGGAGCCTTATACACAGCAGAGTGGCGCTGGTCTGAAAGTGGAGCTGGGGTGGAGCTACCTCTTGTCCCTGCCTTCCTTCTTCCCTCTCTGTCTGTCTCTGTCTCTGTCTCTGTCCCTCTGACTTTCCTTGGGTCCCTCTATGTTTCACTGTGGCTTCAGTCTTTCTCCTCAATACAGTGACTGGGTCCCCAAGTGGTCTTCTTAGAGTCTTAAAGCCCCCTCTGGAGCCTTAGCCTCTTGAGGTCCCCACTCCAGTTCACCCAGCACCCAACCTTTGTCTTTTATCTTGGATACTTGGGAGTTAAATTTAAAAAAAAAAAAATCACACCTGTAATCCTAGCTACTCAGGAGGCCAAGATCTGAGGCTTGTGTTTCAAAGCCAGCACGGGCAGCACAGACAGTAAGATTCATATCTCCAATGAACCACCAAAAAGTTGGAAGTGGAGGTGTGGGTCAAGTGGTAGAGCACCAGCCTTGACAGACAGTTGAAGGCCCATGGCGGGCACGCATGCGCACACACTGCCCTGAGGGGCTGGTGCCCTTCCTCGTCGGGAGGGGAGGGATGGGGGGTGGAGGGA